CTGGCTCTCTGCATAGCTGACTTCCAATTGGTTCTCTCTGAAACTGTGATTGGAGATAACCAGGACTTCCTTGGTGGACAGTTATGAGTTTTTCCTCTGCCATCTTTCCAAGGCAAGATCCTGACCGAGATGGCTCAAAAATGTGACTCAAATATATGGAATGTCCAGATTTGGGGTCCCCAACATAGGAAGGACTTGGAGCTGCTGCAGCAGCCCTGTTCCCACTCAAAGCATCCACACAGTATATTCCACTTATTAAACAGGAAAAAATCATTTTATTGTTGACCAGAGATTATGGAAGCCTTTGGAATTCCCCACCCAACAGCTTCTGTCCCTCTCCCAGACCCCGGCCTGGCTGGCAGCTGTGAGCAACCACCGACCTCTGAGCCAGCAACCACACTCCAGAGGCAAAATAACCCCGGGGGTTCTGATTCCCAGGCTCTCTGGAAGCCACTCTGGAGCTTACAGATTTCAGGCTTTTTGTGGGGTGTTAATAACGGCAGATGGCAACTTGCAGGGTGATGAAATGAGGTGTGAGCTGCTCCCTTGACCCCAAAAGCAGCGCCGGTGGCAGACACAAAAGAGCTTTTGCTTCTGCCCTTCGAAGTTCCTGTAATGCACAGAAATAGATGTGGGGTAATTACTTTCTCTGCTGTACAAAAGGCCTGGTTCAGACTTACACTCCCTGAAAACAGCACTGCCTCCTTCTCCTCACTGATTTCCACTTGCAAGACCTCATATTCCACTCGTAATACCTCACAGGCTTGTCCATTTAGCATTTTTGGGGGTTAGCATTTTGGTTTGTGGGCTCAAATAAACACACAGAAACATTCAAACCACAGACACTGCACAGCAATGGGTAAGCAGGACAAAGATGTTATATTCTTACCTCTTTTTTTTTTTGGCATAAATTTTGCATTGATTCTATTTTTTTGCAACTCAAATCACTTGTAGTGAGGCCCTGGCACAGGTTGCCCAGAGAAGCTGTGGCTGCCCCATCCCTGGAAGTGTCCAAGGTCAAGTTGGACGGGGTTTGGAGCACCCTGGGCTAGTGGGAGGTGTCCCTGCCCATGGTAGGGGGTGGAATGAGATGAGTTTTAAGGTCCCTTCCAACCCAATCCGTTCTGTGATTGTATCACTCGTGTTTTAAGTGTTTTAAGTCAAGCAGTCCCTTAAATATTGAATCAGAGCTCTTATTCTTAAAGACATAATTGCTTTTCCTTGCTTTTATGTATTTAGTCTGAAGCTGCTGATTCTTAAGAGAGTGCACAATAAAGCATGAAAAGATTTTATCTATTCCATAAAATAATTGGTTTAAATCACTTCTAACACTTAACTTATATACAGTTAACTCATCCAAATCATCAATCACATCTATATTACAGAATAGAAATGAAATCACAAACATTGGGAAAATAGAGATGCTTCATAAATGATGCCATCTGCATCTGTCTTTATTCCAATATCCCTTCAATGGAAAGGACCAATAAAAGGTCCAGGAGCTCACATTTTGGAATGAGGGATTTCATCTGGTGCCTGAGGGACACACTGTACTTAAAAGAAATATAAAGATCCATGTTTGGGGGTGTTTTTCCCCCCTATCTCTAGATATAGGTAGCGAGGACAAAATGCAACATGCTCATCAAAAAATCAACCCAGACAGTAAATTTTTAAGAAAAAAAAATTAGCAGATTTCCAAGCACTTTGTGCTCCTCTCCCTCCCCTTTGGCAAAGGCTGGCAGAGACTGTCCAAGAAACACCACGCACGCACCCGAATAGAAGCTCCCCACAGAGCTCCTCCTTCCCACTCTCCCCCGTGTTTCCAAGAAGCTGCAGTTTTGACTGACAAGCTGTTGAATTCCTCAACATGTTCACAAAATGAAAAGAAAAAAGCGCAATCCTGGAGGAGGGATGGAATTCCACCTGCCTCAATCCCTCCCCGAGCCCGCTCCTCCCTGCTCCACTGCTTCACTCAATACTGCACGTGGAAAACGGGGGAAAAATCGAACATGAATGTTTTCCTTTTTCTCCACCGAAAGTTTTGACATTAAAATAGCTTTAGGTATGCTCAGTGTTCACCCAGCAACATCCAAAGGAGGTGCCAATATCCTTTAAAAATAAATTTAAGCTTCAGCCTTGGTGCAAGTAAATAAATAATCATGTGAAAACTAATGGGATATTTTCAGGTTTAACTTCCTAGGTTTCTTGCTGTCTCACTAATAAATATTTTCCTAATCTTCCTCATACAAAACAAGGAGCAGAGGTGTATTAGTATTTCAAGGAATACACCATTACTAACAGGAGTTGCTACAAGGCAGGGAGAGTTGCTTAAACTCACTTTTTATGGATATTTGTTTATTAATATCTCTGCTTTGCCAGCTATGGAATCACCTCTAATGTACTTCAGCTCGTTGGAGCTATTTTGGGGATTAATTTATTAAAACAAGGTGAAATTTTGTTTTCTCTGCATGTTAGTATCAATTAATAATCTGTATGAGAGGAATGCTGTGCTGTCAGAGGAGGGGTGTGTAAAGAGCAACATTAACTGCTGAGAGAAGGGAAAATGCCTGAAAACAGATGATGTCAAATACAAGATAACAGGACACAGCTGTCCTTATCCATAGAATGGAACAAACTCAAAAATCCCTAATCCAGTCCCCTTCTGAACAGAGGGAGTTATCTACACTGAAACTTCTTCTTTAGTCTGGTTTAGAGTCATGGAAATAGGCCAGACTTAGGTGATGTTGCTGTGTCTCCCATTAGAGAGGGCAAGTGTAAGAGGGCAGGGAAAGTGTCAGGACAGGGAAACAGAAAGAAATCAATATTAGGAAAACTGGACTGGAAATTTAATTTACTTATTTATGTATTAAAACCCATAAATATAAATATTTATTATATCTCATACACATTTTAAGTTATACTATATAAAAATAATATCTATATATAATATCTATATCTATAGATATATAATATCTATAATATACTATAATTTATATGATATATAAATTATATGTGTATATATGATATCTAATAATTATACAGATATATGAGACATGCTATATCAACATTATTATTCAATTATATTAATAATACAGAGACTCTAGTATTATATCTTTATAATATAGGGGTTTGTACTATGAATAACCTGTATTGTCTTGTATTTTCTTGTAGTATAGTACAAGTATGGAAGGAATGGAAGGATGGAAGACAAACCCACACCAGATCCCAGCAGGATAGAACACAACAGAGCAGGACATGATGGATCAGCCCGTGCCAGAATTCACCTGACTGACTGAAACACGAGAGAACAGACCAGAACAGGAGAGGGAAACAGAACCCAGAGCCTCGACCCAAAGAGAAGAAATCAGGGCAGGGGAGAGGAGAACTGATTAGAACAGAAAGGACCAGCCCAGCCCCTAACTCAGCACCACAGACCAAACCCAAACACAACCATGCAAAACTCAACAGAACAGACTGGAGCCAAAAACCCTGCACCCGGGTGGGCCTTGCCAATGCCCCACAACCAAAGCCAAAGATGTGCCCCTCACACCACCCAAATCACCAAACACTCCCCAGGCCCCCCACCATGGTACAAAGCTTTGCTCCCACTGCCCACCTGATGCTGCCCAAGTCCATCTGGTGTGGACACTCTTCTCCCTCTCCACACCTCCCTGAGCCTGCTGCTGGACTCCATCCTCTCCCTCATGCCAGAGCCCTGCTGGGAAGGCAGGCTCCTGTTGTCTACCCTTGGATCATGACAGCCCCCTCAGCTTGCCAGAATGCCACAGGGACACGCCACAGCTACACATCACCTTCCTCAGTGACAGCTGTCCAGTCAACCACTCCTCAACCACCTTCCTGCCCTCACTGCCGGGCCATGACACCAACACCCACCACGGCCAATGTCACCTGTCCCTCTACTGCCAGTACAACATGGTCACTGCTGGCAGTCCTGTCAGCAGAAACAGGGGGAAAACCCCACACCCTGCACCCGGAGCGCGTGCTCACCTGGCCTGGGCCCCCTCCTCACCCCTGTGCTCCAGCAATGCCATGGCTCAGAGGACTGGTGGCCAACTCTGCTGTGCACCCCGGGTAGGGCTGACACAGATCTCATCTTCTGAGACATCCTCTTGGCAGGACTTCACTGCTCAGGGTTTGTGTTGTTCGGTGCCTCGATGGACCAGGAACACAAAATACAGCCAGAGCTCTGCACCATCACTCCATCACTGGCCATCCACCAGCCTCCTCCTCTTCATCCTCCTCTTCATCCTCCTCCTCCTCTTCCTCTTCTTCATCTTCCTCCTCTCCAAACTTCTCCTCTTCATCCTTCTCCTCTTACTCCTCCTCCTCCTCCTCCTCTCACCTGTCTGCAATAAAACGGGCACCTACCATACAGGATGATGCTGGCGTTGGTGTTGCCCAGCTTGTTCGTGGCCACGCACGTGTAGTTGCCATAGTCCTTCTCCGAGACGTTGAAGAAGGTCAGCGTGGACAGGCGGCCCTTGCTCTCGATCCGCACACCGTCCAGCCCGTTCGCTAACCTGCGGGGAAACGGGGTCACGGTGCTGAGGGCATGGGGATGGGGCTCTGGGACAGACCTTGTCCCCTCCCCAGGCACCCCTTTGCTTCCCACCAGCCAACAGTGGTATACAGAATCACAGAATCACAATATCCTGAGTTGGAAGGGACCCACCAGGATCATCAAGTCCAATTCCTGGCCCTGCACAGGCCCATCCCCAAGAGTCACCCCCTGAACCCCAGAGGATCAGCCAAACCCTCCTGGAGCTCTGGCAGCCTTGGGGCTGTGCCCACTGCCCTGGGGAGCCTGGTCAGTGCCCAAACAGCCTCTGGGGGAAGAACCTTTTGCTGAGATCCAACCTGACCCTGCCCTGACACAGCTCCAGCCATTCCCTTGGGTCCTGACACTGGTCACACTCACACGTTCCCCCACTGGACTTGCGCATCCCACCAAGACAAACGCTTTATCCCACTTTGCCTCCCTTAATCCATCAGCCTGACTCGTGTCCCACAGCCACCACCCCTGGAAGAAACAACCCTGGGACTCCCTCGGCCCTTAGACCCACCGAAACAAGTTGATCTCAGTCGCCTTCTGCACGATGCCCTCAGGCACTGTCACCTCCCCCTGCCTCCTCACCTCATCACCCTCTGGCCCCAAGGCTCTGCTGCCTCCCAGCCCCTCACCTGGTGTCCTCCTTGAACCACTGGAACTCCGCCACGGGGACGGCCGAGGCCTCGCACTGCAGGATGCCCTTCTGGCCCACCGAGGCGCCCGTGTTCTTGGCGTTGGAGATGTACGGCGGGTCTGCGGAAACGTGGGGCTGTGAGTCACGCTGGGCCACGCACACCCAACCCCCCCGCACGATCCCCCCGTCTCTCACACTCACAGTTGACGGTGACTTTGACTTTCCGCACGTCCGGGACGGCCACGTCGTTGACGGCGCTGCACTCATACTCCCCGGACTGCTCCCGCGTGATGCCCGTGATCTCCAGGTACTCGTCCTCACTCACAAAGCCCTGCCCTGGGAGATGTATTGAACACGTGGCACCGTCACCCACCACACCGGCACCTCCCCTGTGCCCCTGTCCCCCCCGACACGCCCTGCGTGGGCGTCTGTCATCCCCTTTGCACAGAAAGCTTGGGACATCGCTTGACAAGCATCCTCACCCCCATACCAAGGCCGAAGAGTCAGCAGCTCCACCCTCCATGACAGACTCTGAGTCACCTTAATGCCACCCCAGCCACCTCTACGGGGACATGCATCCACCCACACAAGCCAGGCAAGACCCCTCGTTGGAGCCGGGTCTCACCTTTCCCGGAGAGGTGCCGCCACGTGACGGTGGGCTCTGGTCTCCCAAAGGCCAGGCACATGAGGGTCACGCTGCTGCCCTCGTTCACGGTGATGTCCGACGAGATGTTGACTATCTGGGGGGGCACTGCAAGACAAAAAGAAGACCAAAACCACCATCAACACACCGGCTCAGCAGGCCCCGCCGGGAGGCTCCAACCATGAGACCTGTCCCATCACAGCACGTTGGTGTCCACCCCGTCGCCCTGTCCAGACACCAACTCCATGTCTCCAAACCAGTATCATGGACTGGAGCTGAGCATAAATGCAGGTCATGAAGGGGTCCACTCACTGTGCCAGCCCCCCCATTCCACGGCCGAGACCCTGATAACCAGCTCTCATTATGGCCTGCAACAAGGCTCATATTTTAGCATATTTATTAAAGCTGTTAAAATTACTGAGCGTCTGCTCCATTCAATACCAGCCATGGTGATTTATATTCCTCTATCCCCAGATACTCCATCTAATAAATAACTTGGCAATCTCCGCTCCTATAAATATCCCCAGCCATGGCAAAAAGCAATTAAAGCCCGCTCGCCAATGCTGCTTCCCGGTGCTCCGGGATGTTGGACACAGCCCCCAAAAAGGTCTGCACCCCAGGGAGTGAGTGAGGCCATACAGAACAACCCTCCTCAAACTAAACACCACGCCTAAAATGCCCGAAATGATGCCCTGTGCCCCCTCCCCAAGCCCACAATGTGCCAGGAGCCCCAGCTCAAGCGGCATCACAAACCCAATCCTTGCACCCAGGGCTCTCCCACAGCACTGGGATTCCAGGATGATCGCCTGAAAACCACCATGGCTGACACCAGCACTGCCTGGAGGGGGATGTGAGTGCTGCCCAGCTCCCCTGGCACCCCCAGGGAGGCTCTCCTCACACCCCCGGGGAGGTTCTCCTCTCTCCCAGAGCGGGAGAGGTGGCACAGTGGGACAAGCCGCGGCAAAGATGCGGCATAGTCCATGCAGCCCGACGGGTTCTGCAAAGCAGTAAATTTCCCAGCTACTTGACACATTAATATAGAAGTACAGTCTGTTATAGCAGAGGGAGATTGTCTGAGTCCTTCAGGGGAAAGTAGCAATCCAAAAATGAAAAGTGTGTGCCGGCGACTGCTGGAAAATGTAGTTAACGCTCGGAGCGGGGCCGGCCAACTCCAGCAGCGCAGCCACAACGAGCTCTGGGAAGGCTGCAAATGGCCCTTCCTCACTCAGACAAGGAGATGACATTAACCCCTATTACCAGCAGCCTTACACCTCTCCCCTCCAATAACAGCCCCTCAGACTGGTACCAGGAACATCCAGAAACCACAAGAACATCCAGGACAAGCCTTCCCACACAGCTGAGCATTTTTTTCACCTGCTCATGAGCCTGTAAACCAGCCCTCCTCACGAGCAGTTCTGGTCCAAGACAGCAGCACCACTAGTGGACCCTGCTCCAGACAGCAGCCTGTCTCTCCCTTGTGTGCTCCTGCCTACAGATGCCATGGAGCTGGACTAGTGACAGACTGAGATGCAGAGCACAAGCAAAATCACAGCCACTGTTCTATCCTTGCCCTCCCAGCCCTCTCCAGCTCATGCCTGACATCCCTTTCCCATCCCCTGAGTCCCAAACCACAAGTAACAAAGTGACGTGCAGAAATTGGTGCTCTGGGCACAGCTGTGAGCCTGTCCCCCTTCCCAGGCACAGAAATACTTTCATTCCTGTGGAAAAAATTATCACTACCCATAACCACTACGGTCCCAGTGCTCCCATTCAGAAAACCCCAAGCCACAGGAACACACACACACACACACACACACACACACACACACACACACACACACACACACACACACATCAGCCTGAAAGCCCTTCCCTCAGCAAAGGATGCTGACACAGACATGCCAGCAGGTCTCACAGCAGGGAACAGCACTTCCCAACCCCCCAGTGCCACTGCCTGCCCTAATCCAATCAGGAATGCCCCTGAGAGCCAGTAGGGATGTGCAGTGGAGGGATACCCACGGACAGTGCGGGGACCCCAGCTCAATACCCTGCCACGGTGGCGATCGTTGCCTATGAAGTTACCAGGACTTGGAGAAGGACATCTGAGGACCCTGATTACATTTTCATAGATCCCACAGACTGGGCTGTCAAGGATGGCGTCTCAAGGACGCACTGGCTTTGCCATGGGAGGACTTAATCCTATGGGAGGAGCAGGTGGGAGCTGGGACCACGCAGGGATGCGGGCAGGCTGAGTTCGGTGGCAAACACAACGGTGGATAAACCCAAGCTGCAGCCATGCCCTGTAAATACCAGGAGGCAGCTACAGCCAAGGCACAGGCAAAGCTGCCCTGAAATGCACATCCCACCTGAACTGCCTTGTCTCAAGGTGGGGACAGCTTGGGATTGGTTCTGGGCATGGAGTACAAATGCTCTCCCCCATCCCCTGTAAATCCCTCTTGGTCCCCTCCCGGATCAGACAGCCCTGCTAATGCCTCACAGCCCTCCAGCATGACCGTGGATGCTGTTCCTAGTCTTTTACCTGTTGACAGCATCCTTTCCCTGGATCACCTTTCGTTCTCTACACTTCTCTCTCTCTGCCCTACACGGCTGCTGGGGAAAAAGCAACAGGGCAGAACACCATCTCCATCCCCCCTTACCCCTGGTCCCGCCTTCATTGTGAAAGCCTACAGCTACAAGCAAATTGAATACAGAATAAATCCTGAGGAAGCGAGGAGCGACGCGGTCTCGTGGGAGCGGCGAGCGGCCCGCGGAGGATTTCGTCAACCCCGCGTAATATTAATCACGGGGAAGTTAATGCATAAGGTTTGGTAAGCCAAAAAATACATTTGCACTGTAATTTCTTGTTTGTTCGGAAAGCCGGCGAGGGAAATTGAATGTGAAAGCGATGCCACTAAATTCAATAACAATAAGCCCGTGATTTATCTCCTTCCTTTACCACTCGAGACCCGAACCGCGCGATGCGCCGATTCACGCTCTCCGTCGGGTCCGGGTGCGTGTTGGTGTCTGCCACCCTTTGTGGGGACAGTGAGGTGCCATCCCCCCTCTCAGCTCCAAACTGGGGCTGCAAATAGCCCTGTGGGGCTACATCACACACCGAGGTCGCCGTGTCCTGATGCTACGCGCCATACTCAAGGGATCTCTGGGACCCTCCCAAAACACCTTCGGTCCCGCTGCATGCACCAGGGATGGCTTTGCACTGGCTGTCCCATCTGGGGACAAAAGGAATGGGACAGCTCAGAGCTTGTGATGGCTGCGTGATCAGTGACTCCACACGACGCTGACGCACGCGGCCGCGTGCGGGCTGACTCATCCCCGGCCGCTCCGGAGCGCCGAGCCCCACCGGAGGCACTCGCCACCATGGCCCTGGACTATTTTTAGCTGCCAGATCATTCCTGCTGCACGCCTCGGAGCAGAGAGCCTGCATGAGCACCGCGGCTGACACATGCAACTGATGTCCCTCCTCCACATCATTAGCTCCCAATCCATTAAAAGAGACCTCTTCCCACACCGCGGTAAGGGGAGATGACAGATGGATACCCATGGGCTCTTCAAACTGCCACTTCCCCAGCTCTACTCAGGGGATGGGTCCCCATAGGGACTGCAGAGGGGGACATCTCATCTTGGGTGCTCTGCAGGGAGGTGACAGCCTCCTGGACACTGCCTCACTACGGCACACTGTGCTCCTGTCTCACTTACCATCCCCTCTCAGACACCTCCTGCTCTGGGGAGATGCAGCATTCATGTTGCTCCTTCAGCTCTCCAGCTGCAGTGTCCAGCTGTGCCCTCTGACAGGAGATGCTGTCACCACAGGGACAGAGACTGTCACCCTAGCAGGGGTTGGATGCCTGCTGGAGCTCTTTCCCCAGCGCCCCAGCTGCCTATAGCCCCAGGCACCTCCAGCTCTGCATGAGCCTCCCCAGCACAGGCAGGATGGAGCTGTCAGAGGTGTCACTGTGCAAGGTCTCATTAGTGTACAGAAAGTCAGCACAAAGAAGGCAAATATGCTGAAAGCTCACATTTTGCCTGTGCTTTCCATCTCCTTCACTGATAAGAAGCACAGCAGGACAGCACTGGGGCCTCCTCCTGCCCCTGTGTGTCTGCTGAAGGCACCAGCGATACAAGACCTTCCCAAGAACAGCTTCTGTTTGGGGCTGATGCCCTTAAAAGGGGCATCTGCAAGCCAGCTCCAGGCTGGCACACAGAAATGGATGTGCTTCCCTGTCTCCCAACTCATCTTTGGGTTTGGGGTGCAGGAGACACTTGCAAGGACACACCCTGCACAAACCCTCGATGTCCATCAAATCTTTGGGGGAAGAGACTGGGGCAAGGAGGTGACATTCTTGGCAGCAAAGATTATTGTCTCTAATCGATCCCATTCCTTTGACAGCCCAGTCTAAGAGGCTCATCAGAGCTGATTTTATTGAGATAATGGACTAAGCCGATCTGAAAGCTACAGACTGGTCAACAGAGTGATTTTTGTCAAATTTCCCTGCCAAGCGAGTGGCGTGACACGGCCTCACGTGTTCTCAATTTCAGGTTTATCCTCCCTTTCCCTTCTCTGGCTCTTGAATGCTGCCTTTTCACAGCCTTCCCCCAGTAAAACACTCTTTGTGTGATCCTCTGATGGGAAGGGACACCGCAAAAATTAAACACAGCCACTGAACACCCTTTCCCAGGCGGAGTCACCCGGTTGCTCGCTGTGCATCCTTTTTCTCCAAGTTTTCACGTTGAGATGGGGAAAGCAATAAAACCGAAACTCACAGTGTTATACCTACTGTGTAACCACCTGTCAGTAAATTTATGAACAATTAGGAAGTGAGAGTGCTTCCCAGGGAGCTATTTGTGCGCGCGCTAAAATGTTCTTTCTGTTCGGAAATATAATCGGGAAACAACTTCTCCAGTTCTCCCTCCTCTTCCCCATTTTTGCTTTTTGCAGTAATTAATCATCTGCTGCTGTGCTTTTGTTCCAGAGGTTCCTGATCCCTGTGACACATCCCAATGGCTCCTTTTCACCAGTTTTAAGAAGCCTCAAGAATGGGAGCCTGAGAATGCTCTCTGGGTGCTTTCCATCCTGTCTCTTTTCCATCCTCCCATCTGGATTTTGGGACAGTGGCTTTCAGGACAGTGGCTGTTCCTCCCTGGGCAGTGAGTGCTGATTACTTCCTGCCAGTTGGACTCTTCCTCTCTCCAGACCTTCCCCCTCTCTGTGCCCTCACTCCTTCATTACTCTTTCATTTCTTCCCTTTGCTGCCTCCTGTCCTTTTGATACTCAGTTCTGTGTGTGCACATTTCCTTTTCTCTTTTCCCTTTGTTCTACAAGTCTCTAGGCTTTTCTTCTCATCCTTTTTGTTTTGTTTTGTTTTTATTTCCCCTCCACTTGCTTTTTTCTACTGTCTTTGCTATTCCTTCCAGATTTTCTCTGGGCTCCTTTGCCTCTGAATTCACTGCCACATTACTGCTGCATCACCTTCATTTGGCCATTTTCACTCTCTTGCCCACCCTCTACTTCTTCAGGGAGGGAGGAGGAGCATAAGAGTCTGGTTGCACCTTCCCAGCCTTTTGCCATTGAAGAAAAAGATCTCAATGGGGCTGCATGGGGTAGGGGTGACCCTTTCAGAGGCTTGAGGAGCCAGTTGTTATCAGAAGGAAAAAAAAAAAAAGTCAATTGGGTTTTGAAACACTTACTGAAAAGCTCTGCCTGCACTGGTGCTGCTGTGAGAGGCAGCAGATGAGACACAGGATTGGCTCTGGGAGAGCATCCTTAGGTGCACGTGGAAAACACACCACACAACCACAACCTCAGAACTGTAAATGAAAGCCATAGTCCTCCAAAACCTGTTCTGGTCCCCAGGGTGAGGAAAGCAGTAAACACGGAGATGGGAAAATGGATTGTGCCAACCAGAAACTAAGAGTAACAATGCCGGCAGCTGGAGAGGCTTTAATGAAAAATCCATGGTGAGTAGGACTAAGGCAGTACAGGAAAGGGGTCTCTAAATAAATCAGAACCAGAGGACATCTGAGGAATACCAAAGACCACTTTTAGGTAGGGATGGCCAGTATCAATGTTCACTGCCAAAATCTCCACCAGATGGGATCCCAAAGTCACAGCCTCCACCAAAACACCAACCCTGAGCTCCACATTTCAGACTGAAATATACCCTGAACCAGCCCAGGCCGAGAAGGCACAGCTGTGACATGCCTATGGTCTACCACACTCCTCACATCAAAACCATTCTGTGGCACTGTGAGGTAAGACCTCCTGGCTCCTCCTTGGAAGGTGGCACCTCCCAGGAGCAGAGGTGGGCTTTGCAGGGCTCATCCCAGGGGCAGGAGTGCTCGCCAAGGTCCAGCCCCATGACAGCCTCCACTCAAACTGTTTAGGAGAAGAGCAGGATGAGGTGGCTCATCTTCTCCTTATAGGAGATTAAATGCCTGTTCTCTCTGCATTCCAAACTCTCCCCAGAACACCCTGACGTGCCACAAGCCCCGCGCATGTCCCCGAAAGCATCTGTCCCCTCGTCACGAGGCAGCGCCTGAAAAAAAAAGAAAAAAAGAGGAGAAGGGAGACAAAAAACCCCTTCTGGCTTCCTGCCATCTACACTCTTATAAACCCTGTTAATGGCTGTTGCAATGAACCAATGCAAGAGACATATTAATAGTGCTACATTTACTGTTGACGGCGGTTCCCTGGCAGATTTATCGCTGGGTTGCTGGGAGGGAAGGCCGGGCCCCGCAGCAGCACAATTAAAACCCAATTGAGACAAACAATCAATACCCTCTCCGGCCAGCTTATAGTTTTGCAAAAACACAAATAGAAATTAATTGACCTGAATACAGTTGCTAACTGGCCATTACTGCCCGTTTGTCAGCCCGCTGGCACGGTGAGGCCAGCAAACAGAGGAGAGACCTAAACCTCAGTTTTGAGGCCAGAAACAGGGCTTTGCTCCCATCCCTGTAAAGTGTGTGCTCTGCTTGCAGTAACAGCCAGGACCAAAGGCATCTTTGGAAAACTGCTCCCTTCCTCCCAGCACTGAGCAAAGGACTGTATGTTATTCATCCTCACAGAAAGCCCCCTAGAAAGCACATTTTAGCCACCAAGGAACTGCAGTGGGACTGAATCTTAGAATGGTTTGGGTTGGGAGGGACCTTAAAGATCATCTCATTCCACCCCCTGCCATGGGCAGGGACACCTCCCACTAGACCTGGTTGCTCCAAGCCCCATCCAACCTGGACTTGAACACTTCGAGGGATGGGGCAGCCACGAATTCTCTGGGCAACCTGTGCCAGGGCCCCCCCAACCTCACAGGGAAGAATTCCTGCCTTATATCTAAACTAAATTTCCCTTCTTTCAGTTTGAATCCATTACTCCTTGTAACTACAGCTCCTGATGGAGAGTCCCTCTCTGGCTTTCTTTAAGGCTCCTTCAGATACTGGAAGGCTGCTGTGAGTTCTCCATGTAACCTTTTCCACAGGCTGAACTGGGAACAGAGCACAGAAGGATTTGCCTCTCTGGTCACCACCATCAAAGGGACAGCAAGGTGGCACCTACAGATGGATTTTCTCACAGACCAGCTTAGACAGACTGTGTGGCTTAACACATTGAAAGGGAAATACAGACCCTGCTCAGCATGGACCACTTGACCTGTGCCTGTATCCCCAGCTCCTCTCAGGCTGTGGATAAGCACCACTGCTGAGAACCGCAGTCATCACTGCAGTGGGAGCAACTCAACAGGACTTGCTCACACCAGGAAAAAAACTCCCAGCACAGTCAGAAATGCCTCACCACCAGACTCTGGACACAAACTATCTCTCACCTCCACCTGCCCAAGCCTGGCAAGTGCCTGCAAAAAGGGGTGAGGAGAGCAGGGGCTGAGCATCGCTGCCAGCTCACCTGATTTCATTAGGTGCAAAGCAGTCGGATACTTCACCGGTGTTGACTGGATGGATTAGCACGATTAGAGAGCAGACAGGATAAACAGATTAAACTTCACAGATGGACAGCTCACACGCAACTCAGAAAGGGGGAGAGGGGGAGCTCCGACCAAGGGGATGGAGGGATGCTCCCAGTGGATCTCTGCTCCCCTCTTCCCAAGGAGAGTGCTCCCCTCGCCATCACAGCCTGGTGCACACAACCCAGGGTTTCCCAACACACTCCCACTGACACCGGGCAGGAAAACCTCCTGGATAGGCTGCCAGAATCAACCCCTGCCTCCTCCCAGTGAGAAGGATACATAAATACATACATAACTCTGCTGGGGGCTTCTCAGAGACATGTCGAGGCTGAGAAAGTTTTCAGATTTGCTCATTGCAAAATCAATACCCATCAGCTGTTTGAAATTAAAGGAAAGATTAGGTCCTGGTTTTATACACGCTTTATTGTATTCCGAGAGCTTTCTACTCAGCCAAATAAATCTTCTTTAAGAGGATTAGGAAACTTTCATTATCTTTATCTAACCTGAACTAACACTAACTCTGAAAAATTAATCTAGAGGCCGGACAAAAGCTAGTAGCTGGTGCAAAGCCGCAAGGATCTGGAGGCAGCATCCATCAGACTGCTACAGGCACCTGGATTCCCCTCATCAGAACAGCCCCAGGACGCTGCTTTGCAACCCAACAGCATCTGCCACATAGACACACTTGCCCATGAAACCCTGTGCCAAAAGCCCTTTGTGGCCCCATTGTGACTTCAACATTCACAGAATCCAGCCTCTCCCAAAATCACAGGGCCTTGTGCTGTTGGGATCTCCCTCTCCCCCACACACCCTTCCTCCTCCTTCCCCACAGCTTTATGTGCTAAGCATGATGTCATACGGTCTGGAATACCCCTCTGGTCAGTCTGGGTCACCTGTCCTGGCTGTGTTTCCTTCCAGCTTCCCAGGCACCCCCAACTTCCTTACCCGTGTGGCAGTGCAAAAGAGCAGAAAAGGCCCTGGCTCTGTGTAAACGCTGCTCAGCAATAACAAACACACCCCTGTATTATCAACCCTGTGTCCAGAATGAGCCAAAACACAGCCCCATACTGGCCCCTAGGAAGACAATTAATTCTACTCCGGCCAAAACCGGCACACCACGCAATACCCAAAGCAGCTGATATTGGTTCCATCTCCACCACCAACAGAGCCTCTGAACCCTCCACAAATCCAGACACCCTTGCAGATCAAACCCCCCAGCAGGAGCACGAGGTGCGTTCAGACCTACCTTGCACGATGAGGTGGACGCGCGAGGTCTTGGGGTGATTGTCTGTCTGCACGGAGCAGGTGTAGGGGCCCTCATCGTACACGTCCACGTTGTGGATCTTGATGCTGTACTGGGTCTTGGTGTTGGAGAGGATGACCACGCGGTTGTCTATAGACCACTTGTCATTGCCGGCATACAGGATGGTGCTGCGGTTCAACCACGCCACCCGCGTGACCCGGTCATCCACAGTACACCTGCGGCGGGAGAGACAGAGCGTCACACACCCCAGAGCACCCACGGAGCGTCCCCGACCCCAAAACTGGGTGGGAGCAGGACGGGAGCTGCGGCACCGGCTCCCCATCGCTGCCAGCACAGAGATGGCACATGCCACGGCCGCACAGCCCTGCTCCACATCCTCCCATTACCTGAGATTTCGCATAAACGGCGGGTTCAGCAGAAAGAAACCCTCCCGTTTTCTTTGACACACGACCGGGGAACCGCAGACAAAATTCCCATCGCATTCAACCTCTGCGAGCTACACAGACTATCTCTACCCACCATCCCTACCCCCTGGCACCTCCATCACCCCCCTCCTCGCCCCCCCTGCGCGCTGAGGATTTCAGATGAAGCTGTAAAATTTGCTGACAGTTGGTCTTGTCGGCACGGCCCTCGAGCCATCCCTGGGGTGATATACATGGGGACAGGGGTTGCAGAACACGTGCAGGGAGAGGGGAAGGAGAGGAACAGCCGGAGACGGCCAAGCCAGCACGCGGGGAAGGGAAGGGAACATTTGGATAAGCAGCTGTAAATCCTACAAGTGCCTTGAAAACACAGTGCGGTCGTTTCCATTATTTATTTCCTGCCTGGCTCCCACCCTCCCCGCTCTGAGGCACGCGGGAGCTCGGCAGCTCCGGCCCACAGCACTGACTTACACTTGGCAAAGAGGGGGGGGGGGGGAAGGGAATCAAAATGTTCCTGGAAAACATGGCTTTTTCGTTCTGTTTGACGTATTTTTCTCCATCTATTTACTCGTGGCCTTCTCTGCTGCCTCCGTGGCACCCACAGCAAAAGCACCGAGCATTTGGCTAAATTAAGAGCCTGGCACCTCTCAGGAGCTTCACGTTTCCCACGTGAGGACCACAATAGGGAAGCTGTCCCTTGGCATGAAAGAAAACCGGGAAAACCAAGCTAGGTGTGCAGTAGTGCCGGTGGTGGCAGTGCTGCCGCAGCTTTGTGCAGCTGAGACCGCAGGAAAAGTCACCTACAGTCAATCAAGAAACTCATGTGAGTCCCTCTCCACACGCCTGTAAATTCGGAGAGAGGCTGGAAGGCTGTTCCTGTCCTTGTCCCCACCACAGCACCTCTCCTGCCCAGGCTTCCGAGGTGTTATATGCCTCCCTCGCTGAGACTGCAGAGCGTCACCTCGATCGAGATTATTAATCGGGCGGAGGGAAGGGGCGATACTTGGTATGTTTGAGGGTCCCCCCGGGCGCTCAGTTCGGAGGAACGAGCCATATATCCTCCCGCAAACAAGTCCTTTTCCCCTTGCAGGAGCCGTTCGTCTCTGCCAGCCACGCCACGTACGGACGCCGGGAAAGACGGATGGCCCTCCCCGCCCGCCGCGGCACTGCCGGAGCGCCGGGAGCCTGCCCGGGTGTCAGACATCTCCCAGCACCAGCTCAGCTCTGCCAGACCAAGGCGGCCTCGTGCCGGCAGACGGCACCGTCCTTGTCGGGAAGCCGAGCCCTCTCTTCTCGTTCAAATTAACTGGGGGAGAGCTGAGCACAGCCGAGTGAAGTTCGGCCCTGGGGGATTCCAGTCTAGTGGACTATTACTGCTGTCTCACTTCATTATAATGAATAATAAAGAGATACTTACACACGGCTTCTGTAAATTATTCATCGCGTGCACCGAAAAATCAGGGCAGCAATATGTAAAACAGACAACTTGCATGTCTGCGCTCATATAAATATCCAGACTACAGCCCTGTGAGGTGCTCTTGGGTCCCCTCATTAGGGGTGAAGCACAAGGACTAGGGTTTGAAGTGACAGGGACGAGAAGCTCGTGCTGAGCACGTTCGACTGTCGCTGCCTGGCTTTGGCTGGTACGTATTGGATGTGCTTCCCAGGGAAATCTGAGGCTGGTCCAGGACACCCAAGAACTGGGGCGGTTCATTTTTTGTTTACAGCTCATATTTACACCTCAGAGGTGCACCTGCACAGGCACACAGGGGTGTCCCAGGTGGACACGTTCATGTGAGGGAGGGGAAGAACAACATTGGCCTCCCTTGTCTGTGGTGACAGGTACTGCCCTAGAAACCACTCAGAGCGAGGGGGCAGGAACCTGAGACCCCTCTAACAAACTCAGGGCAAGAGCAAGGAGGCAAAGGCTCCTCTTCCCTGCTCCTTGAGCTCATTCTTCGATTGCTGCCACTCAATAGCTAATTCAGGACAAAGTCCCTTTGGCTCCAATTGTGTAGCATCGTGCTCCTCTCTACCAGAGCCCAGGCTGTCCCCTGCAGCCACAGGTGACCAGGAAAAACACCCTCCTTCAAGAAACCAACCCTCCTGCACCTCCTGGAAATGTGTCAGAACCACCACCAGCAGAAAACCCACCAGCCATCAGCTGGCATGGAGCACTCAGCATTCCTGGAGGCACCTTCTCAGCTGACCTTGCCTTCCTGCCAACAGTTTTCCTGTGCCTGGGCAATTGGCACTACAAAGGAAATACTGATGGACAGCCTGGCACAAGGAGCACCTCCTCAGCTTCTTTACCTGTCTGGGAAAGCGATCTCCATTAGCTGCTAAGCTCCCTTGTCTGCTGAGCCGTCTTTGCTACCCATTTCCAATTGACCAGGATTATGATAATGTCTCCAGTAAGCAAACAGGTAAAGAGACTTCTGCAAAGTGTTTAGATAAAGCAGACAAGCTCTGACAAAGCTGGATAATAAAGCAGGCCAGGAGGTTTTCCCTTGAAGGGATCTAATTAAAACCAAAGACAAACCCCCATTAACAGTCTCCTGAAGGCGCCGTATCCATCTCCAGAAACTCTGCCTTACGAGTCCAGAAGGGACAAAAGACAATAAAGGGCCTGTCAGATGGGAGGAAAATAAACCCATCCTGGCTCTGCAGTTCACCTGGAGAAAACCCATCAGCAAGGCAGGGGGAATATCTCGGGAATGATATCATCAGCCCAAACCTGAGCCCCCGGCACATGCCGCATCCCGGCTCCCCCACGCAGCCCTTCTTCATGCTCCTCCATCCCTGCATCCCACTCAGACCGTCACTGCCTTTAAGCAGAGACTTTTCACCATCTGCAAACCTTCAGCTGCCTCCAACCACGACTTCTCTCCTCCAGAGCAGCTTGCTGGAGAGCTTCGGAGGCCGGGCCTTGCCCGAGCTCCAGCCCCTGGCGCTCACAATGATACATGTGGCCTCTCGAAGGCTTCATCTCCTGAGGCCCATATTAATCCCCTCTCTCTGTGGGAGGACGAGAGCTGCCGTAGGGATCCCAGCACTCCACCAGAGACGAGGGCGCTGAACCTGAACGCGGCAGCGCGAGAAGATGCATGAGGGTGGGAGCCGGGGGCACCGGCGCTGCGCCGCTTCCCCTCTAATTGCCCCCATTCCTCATCCTTAAATGCTAATTTTGAAGTTTGCCACGGAATTATTTCACTTAGTGTCAACAATACGGATAACTCCGCTGACGTGCCCTTTGTGTTCGGCGGCACAAAGTGACCGTCCCCCTCCTCCTGCACCTATTAGGAGAGACCCCCGCGCCGCTCCCGCAGCAGGCTCCTGCCCGGCCCCATCAATGACACTGACAGCACCACTCCTACATGTGGGACGAGCCACAACACCCTCCACCTTCCTCCTCCACCTTTCCCAGCCACGTCAGGGACCTTTCCTGCACTGCTGACTCATCCGAGTACAAGGGCAAAGCCTGGGGCTGCCCTCGACACCTTCCCAGTGGTGAGGGAAATATCTTGTCCACGGTCAGCACAAGTTTTCTGGAACTAATTTGGAGGGATAAGTGGCACACAAAGAGTTGGAGGCATAAAGCAAGTCTTGCAAAACCCTCAAAAATATCCTGAGGAATGGGTTGCATGAGACCCCAAAAGGTAGATGTGCATCCTGAGAAATGCTTGTACCTGCAGAGCTGAGGTAACTGGTCCCTGTCCATGCCAAGAGGCTGGGGGGGAGATGGTCATCTATGGATCAACCCAAATTTGTTATCCATGGTGGGATTTTTGGGCTTCTCTTGGAGCTGGACTCAATGCTCCTTGGTGGTCCCTTCTAACCGAGGATATTTGATGATTCTATCATTCACACCCCTCCCTCTTCCTTATTCAAACAAACGATGTTCTACTTTTAAACTCTTCTATGGCCCTTCAACCCCAAACTGCTTCTCTCTCCTGCAGGTAACGTGTCTCATCAGGATGACAAATGGAGATGCCAAAACCAGGTGCAAACTTGCCAGCTGACCCAGTTTTCAGCAGCTAAAATAGCTCACCCAGATCGGGAGAGAAGCCCCTTGACAGTGACCAGGTGATGCTTCACCCTGGGATGCTTCCAACCAAAAACACCTGTCACAGAGGCAGAGCAAACCCCCTTGTCTCTGAGAAGAAATTGTTAATTACGTTTGCCGGGGGCTCCTAATGGGATTTATCCTTTGCTTCCAATATTCACCCCGGTTACACAGCGAACGGGCTCCGAACGCTTTTTATTCCGGGCAGCTGGAGCAAAGGCAGAGGAGATTTATTTGTAATCATCGGAAATAAACACACTTCCTCAGAAGTAAACACAAAAGAACAGAACCTGGCTGGGCTCCCACTTCGTTAAAGATGCAAATGAGAAGCAGGCCATCAAAATGCGGCGGCTCCTCTAATCCTCTCCCAACAATGTATCCCGCCACATTATCCATAGGGACAATGGCAACCATGGCTTGTGATGACGGGTCTCACACAATAGCTCCTGAGGGCAGGATTGCACTGCCTGGGCTTCCATCACTGCTATCCATGATATTTATCCTTGGGAGGCACTTTGTCTTTAATCCTGATCACTTCTGCTGGCATCTGTCTCCTCTTTGAGTCACCCGCGGTGTCCCTTCTCCCCTCTCTCCCACACACCCTGGTGTCTGGATGTGGGGTGCACAACTCCACACCATCCTCACATCATACCAGAGCCCTGAGGATGGAGAGGACCCAGGATGTGCCACTTGGCATTGCCCAGCACAACCACCTCCCCTCCAGCCCTCACCAACCACTCCACAAGTCCCGATCCGTCACCACCCCTGCGGGAAAACAAGAAGCATGGGATGCTTAAGAGCTCAGTCAGCCTAAAGTGTCCTGCTTTTCTCCATAACATCCCTCCCTCCCCACTGTACACCAGTCAGCCACTGCCTCCCACAAAGCCACCAGCTCTTGCTCTCTGCAAGTTT